CCCCCCCTCCTGCCGCCCCAGGAGGGTCCCCACCCCGGGCACTGCCCCGGCCAAAGGCCACGCTCATCGCTCCCACTGTGCCAGGGCCTCTGCGTTCCCGGCACGCAGCCCTGGCAGTGCAAAGGGCAACCGGGGAGAGGATGGAGAAGGGGGGAGCCGGGGCTGCACGTCCCCCCTCGCCACTCCTCCGTTTCCCAATGCAACGGTTGCGTTGGGCAAACGCTGGTAAACTGACACAGGAAGCCCCGAGCCAGCCTCCGACCATGGCGGCGTTAGGAAATCTGCCCGCTGCTGGGCAGGAGCTCTGTGCTCGGCCCCGGTGCAAGCCCCGCTCTGCAGCAAGGGTCACCCCAGCAGTGGGGCCCCAGTCCCCCCCACCCTAGTACACCCACACCCTGGTACACCCTGCAGCCCTTCTTGCACCCCAGGGGGATGCAGACCTGGGGGGGGCAAACTGCTCCTCTGCCCACAGCACCATCCCAGAGCCAGGTGGTCTCTGGCGGGGCTGAAAGACGCAGTGGGTCCGAGCACAGCACAATCCCTGTGTGACCCACAGCAGCCAGGCTGCCAGCCAGCTCCAGGGACACTGCCACATCCTGGGAGGTGTCTTGGGATGTGGTGGGGCCCTGCTGCTCCCACCTCTCTGCCAAGAGGAGAGGGGTTTCAGCCTGATTAGCTCATGGCACAAGAGGAGCCAGGAGTGAGTTGGGAAGCCACTCTTTCTCTCTTCCTTCCCCAATCCACTCTCCTCCCAGCAAGCAGTCGCTCCGGGGGAAGCTGCAATGCCACATCTACCCCCAATGCAGCATTGCACTGCCAGTGCCCCCCACCCCACAGCAATTGCACAAGGCAGCAACACCCAGAGAGGAGGAAGCAGGAGGAAGATACCCGCTGGCACCCAGGCAGAGGCTCAGCCCCCAGAGTTATTTAAGCACCCCAATCCCTGAGTGGCCCCAAAGGAGGTGGCAGTGGCCCGCTCTGCGCCAGCATGGTCATGGCTGGGCTGTTCATGCTCAGCCTGGGAGGCTCCGTCCTGCTCCCGGCGCTGGCCCCAGCAGGTAACGGGAGAGCTGGGTCTGAGAGGGCGGCAGGGCCCCACGGCCAGGGTGGGAGATGGAGACCCATCAATAAGGGCTGGAGCACTGTGGTGCAGGGGAGGCTTTGCCCTGCCATGCTCAGCCCTCCTCAGCCAGAGCCGGTGCTCGGCCGCTCCCCAGCACCCGTGGGACACGTGCTCGGGACACACAGCTAGGAGCGGGACAGACGCAGGTGAGAGCCGTGCCCGGACTCCCCGGCAGCTGGTGACCACCTGCACCCACCCACCAGGCACTCAGGGGAGCTGGATCATCGGGGGAAAGGTGGTAGCACCCCATTCCCGGCCCTTCATCGCCTCCATCCAGATGGATGGGCAACATGTCTGCGGGGGCTTCCTGGTGTGGCCCAAGTGGGTGATGACAGCAGCCCACTGCCTCATTCCCAGGTGAGCCATGCTCCCACGCAGGGCACACACCTCCCGTCCCCCCCGCCCTGGGACACGGTGTGGCCGCCTTCAAACAGATAACCCCATCCCAGGGGGTTACACAGTCCTGGAGCAACTCCCCACCCGTGCTCCCCTCGAGCCCACCTCGCCAGCCCCCTTCTCCCCCTCCCCGATTGCCCCCAGCCACAGCAGCACCCGCTCAGGGCCCCTCTGCCACAGGCGCAACCCCTCGGTGCGTGTGGTGCTGGGCGCCCACAGGCTGGAGGAGCCTGAGGAGTCCCAGCAGGTCTTCAGCATCGCCGAGTCCATCGCCCACCCGCACTACAACCCCCGCTTGGTGGACAACGACATCCGCCTGCTCAGGGTAAGTCCCGTGTGCG